AATTTGAACTCATCTATGTACGTACAAAGTTCTACGTTATTGCTGACTGGAAGACACTCAACGTCTATAATCATCGACGATGATAATAGGGCAGACCCTGGTTTAGTATTCTACACTAACCAACACGACTTCGTTCAACAGTGGATCTTTCCAAGGACTACTGCTATGTTTTGGTATTATTTCTTATGAACGTCTATTGTTGACTTTGTATTTATAAGTCAAATTTCTGATTACCTAACAATTAGCTATAATCATGTTGTATTGTTTGTCTGAATCCCCAAATGATGCATAAATGCCTATAAGAGACTGATCAATTACAGTCCTAAACATCAATGTGAAGATTCAAAAGAAATAATACATCATAAATTTACACTTCACACAAATGCACAAGCTAACGATCATCAGAATGTTTTAGCTAAGTGGATAATACAGTAGTATTTAAAGTGGATAGTATTGAGTTCTAGTAGTCTAGTAGTGAGCATCAACTCTGGAATACAGGCACATCTAGTCGATGAGTCTTCAATTACAACGAAATGCTTGATCTGGATTACAATACTAACCATTATCCATCTTTAAATTAGATCATAGTTATTTTTTAGTTTATCAAAACAGTCAAAATCACGGTTTTATTTACTTCATATTTCTCTTTTTAAAGAAATGATACTTGTCGTATGATTTAAGAAAACTTTAATAGAATAAATCAAATCATTATTTACTGAATATCTTTTCTTACATTTCATGCAATATGATAGGATTAAACTAATATCTACATATTATTGTGTTTTTTTAATTAACCTACAAGTATATTGTCTAATTAAACAAAAGAAACTATAGAATTTATACTTGAATAATCCGAATTTGATATTTGTATAAAACCATTTTGAATTAAGAAGGTCTTCCTTCTCTTTAAATTATACAACTAATTAGAATAGACTTTATTGTCATTCTTTTCTCATTTATAAATATTAACAGTTCAGAAGATACATAACTATCGTCCAATAACAATAACAATGTACATATATATATATATGGTGCCATCGCACAATTTAAAAGTGTTGTACACAACATCAATAATAAACAACTATTTATTCACAGAATATACGTTGAAAGTAAGTATTGATTTCAATATTTCTCTGATCAAATTAAATTACTTTGTCCACTGATCTTATTCATATCACTAAGAACCAATATTTCCTTAAGTATTAAGCTGTATTACTTTTAGGGTGGTGTTTTTTTTTCTATTTAGAAAAATAATACAATTCAACCGGGGTCTGTTATGAGATATCAGCTCACTGAAGACAGTGGTGTACAGTGGCGTAACTTCATGGATTGGTTGAAGTTAGACATTTCAGTGGTTTAGTGGTTGAGTGCATGCGCGCGAAACCAGCAGATCCTGGGTTCGAGTCCCGCGGGGTGCGGGTTCGAGTATGCACACTGCTGAGGAGTTCCGTACTAGGACAAGACGGCCGTCCAGGGCTTCCAGGTTTTCCATGGTGATCTAGCTTCAATTGACTCATGATTTCAACCTGTGAAATTTCTAAAAATCTCCACAAAACCCATTCTGATAATTCATTATATGTGAAAATTATATTTGAAATAATATTAGCAATTGAAATTTAAATCATTCCAACATTTCATTCAGCAAATATGATTTCCAAATAAGACGACGGTTAGAAGTAGTCAATAGGAAATATTGTCTAACTCCAATTACTATCTTATCTCAACATAGTTCATGTAATATTGAGTCACCTAAACTGATGGCCATATTGTAATTTGATCGATAAGATTCAATCTGTACTTAGAAGGATCTAATATATATGACATTGATCACTATCCAGTGATCAATCAATTGTAAATATAATTTTCACATATAATAGCTTCTCTATAGTCGGTGGTCAATTTTCGTCAAACGATTCGTTCTAATATTGACGAATATTCGGACAAAGGATTTAATTTTTAATAGCTGTTAAATAATTCTCTCTTATATATAATCATAGTTTATTTGATAGATGAAAATTGACAGTTATTTAGCCAACGTAGTAGATAAGATCAAAAAAGAAATAAGGAATTTGAAAAACATTTGCCTAAACTTAAACTAATTAGAGAACAGGTAATCAAAATTGTAGATCAATGAAGCGTTTTTTAGCGAGTTAGTTTTCTACAGGATGGGGTCGCTAACCCCATGCTCAACCCTCCTCCTTTGTCCGGGCTTTGGACCGGCAGAAGCCCCCGGAGGGACTCCAGAGAGAGTTGTAGGTCAATGAAATTATAATCTATATAATGCTCTTACATAACTTATAAATTTCTAAAAGTTAATTAAATAGTTCTTACGACTCGAAATCAAATACATTCATATAAGTAAAAATTTACCGTTCGATCAACTCGCTTTGAAATATCTCCATATATATCATACTTTCTTTCTGAAATGACTATTTCATCGCATTCATAGGTAACACTGTCTTCATTAAGATTTCTGAGCATGTATTCCAGTAATTTTGATACCATTACATGGCTGTAACTAATGTTTATACGGTTCAATTCATTACTCAAAGCATCTATCTTTCAATATTCGACATTGTAACAGTGAAACAAAGTTAACCATTATAGACTAATTAGGTCTATTTGTAATTTAACAGTAGAAATAGTAAATAAGAAATTATCAATAGATGAGTACAATGGTTTCGTCTTTAAACCTCTTATAAATACATTTAACTATTATGTCGTAGTTGAATTTCATTGATTTATGGAAATATTTAAGTAGTTTTACTCTTTTGACTTTCAATATTTACATCTCACTATCACCGTATTTTTTAGTAGTTTATTTATTGATGAAGCAAAATGATGAATAGGAATTATTGAGTATTATACTAACCCGAGATTGTACAAGAATTTATTGATAAAAAGATAATATTTATAAACCAAGACGTATCATGATATGGAAAATAAGTAATATTAATTTAAAAGACGGGGATCTTTAAACGAATATTAATTTATGATTCCGATAGCTGATGAGTTCATGGATATGTATTCCTAGAACAAAACAAATGTCTAATTTATCCTAGTTAACAAGGTTTATTCTATGTAAGACTAGTTTATAATGTATATATATATATATATATATATATATACAACAATAAAAAGATAAAATGTCACAAGTTTGTAAACCATGAAGGGACGTAATGTTCTGTCTGAGCGAAAATGATTGCCAACCACATTAGTTACTAAATATGAGTAAGTAGTATAATAAAATACACAAAAATGTACCGAAAATTGAGTAAATGAGAATAGAACGTACTATCAAAATTAACAGATATTTAATATATTCCATTATCTAACTCACAGATTCCGTTATACGATCTAAATATATCCACAGGAATTTGTAATTTACCATAATTCTTACGTTATTAAAAAATATGAAGAACATTATAAGATTAGGTATGAAATAGTTTCGGTTATTTCAACAAATAGATCAAGTTTCAGATCACGGATATTATTTCAAAAGGAAAAAAAGCTAAAGAGAAGTATCTTAGCAACTATTAACTATAGTTACAAGATTTACTACACGGTTTACAATTATAATTATATTTTCTTGACGATGTTATGGTTACTGAACTGTATGAGTTGGAAGACTTAAGCCACCCAGCACAAAGAACACAATACAGCCAAAATCTTCATGAAGAAATATGAATCTTCTCCATCATTTTAATTACCAGTGAAGTTCAAATATGAATTAACAAAATATGGCTAATATATAGAGCAAACAATTTTCCATCAATAAAAACTGTATAACTGAATTGTGGCTAATAAAATAATAAGATTCATCACTTCCTATTTAACAAAAGGTACTAGGTTCTAGACTCAATACAAACATTAATACTGTGGTACAGGTACCCTCAAGAGACTAGTCCCAAATGGAGTAATACTCTTGGTCTGGATTCCATTGCTAGCAATGATCCAAATATAATAAATGTAATAATCACAAGATTATATCAAAGCAATCTACTTAGATAGAGTACATTCTAACATAGGTTAGTCAGTTTCAGTCGATAATATCGAAATATTGAAGATTTCTAGTAACTTTTTCGATTAATGTAAGCTTTCAGAAATATTATTGAATTCTCGTAAGTAGACTATTTGATTGATGAGTCCTCGTTTCCGTTCAGGACAAAATAATTCGATTTTATAATACATATAGAATTTGAGATATCCCAATCAGTAGAAAATGATATTTCTGGCTTTTCGCAAGTACACTACGTTGTACTATTTGAACCTGTATTAATCTCATTTTAGTTATTTATTTACTCTGAAGAAGTAGCTTACAGTATGTTACGAAATATCAGAAATATAATTTTCTATTCCTCAGAGTATTATAAATTTTTTTTATTTATTATTAACTTTTTACTCAATGCTCAATTTATTTGAAACTATTCAGTTCAATCTTGTCATTGATATTTATAATTTTATAAAGGGTAAATTAATTTCTTTGAATATCCTTCTTTATGATTAGTTGTGTTTCGTATATTTGGTTACTTTCTTTTATCCTTGTATACAAGAAAAAAACATATTCAAATTAAATACAAGGATAAATGAAAGCAATCAATTGCAAACAAGAACATTAGGAAGAATAAACGCTAATGATGTTGTGTAGAATTCAATGACAACACAAAGCATTCATCTGAGCTGTAAATCTCCACAATCTAAAAAAATTTTACACATTAGTAATTCTGAAAGGATTCCTACAAAAGGTTAAGCGTTCGCGTGCAAGACTGATAGTTTTGGGGTTCTAATTTCGCGGTGCGGGATCGTGGATACGCATTGCTGAGGAATCCTACAGTAGGATGAAACGGTCATCCAGTGCTTCCAAATATTCCATGATGGTCTAGTTTTCATTGACTCTTGAATTCCATTATTAAATTACTACAATTTCCACAAAACCCCTCTCTGATTATTAATATTTCTTATTTTCATTAGGAAATTAACATTTGATTCTCTTCCTAAACATGAGTAAAGAACAATATCATTCAGATTTTGAAATGGGAAGTGATACAGATGAGTCAGATGATAATTCCATTGATCATGAAGATTTTTATCGACCTAAAAACAGAGAACCTATTGATAATACAGAAGTGAAATTGACATTAATGCAAAGAGCACGTAGACGTCCAGGTGAGTATTCTACTTATTCATTATTATAAACAGTATTGTTTTAATGATATGGATAAGTGAATTTTTTGTAGAAAAAAGGTTGCCCAATTAGTTAAGTGATTAGGCATAAACTCATATCCAGTGAAGAAATAATGTAAATAAAGATGTAAATGAATACTTCTTTCTTTGTTGTTTGATAGTCTCTTTTTTACATGACTGACTGCTAATCATATCAGGACCTAAGTTATATCTTTGAAATATGAATAAATTTGAAATTCAATGAATTGGCAAACTACAAATTGAACTGAAATTTACTGGCACAAAATTATACAAATAGTCAGTGATCGAAATCAAAGGAATACATCACACTGTATAAAATCATCTCTGCGTAATTGGATGTAGGTCTTCGATTCCAGACTAACTTTAATGGACGTACTAACATTTAATGGTTCGTAATCATCAACGGATTCACATTAATCGATGAACGATTAACTAATTAAGGTTGGTTCATAATGTAGACCACAAACTTCAACATTTCCTACAAAACCTGCTACGGAACTACCAATTATACAAACACTAGTGACTGAGTTTCAGAAGTAGTTCACAGAGCTTTAGTGAAAATTTTGCAACCAGTGGGACTTAGTTGTATCAGATATGAGGCAGTTAATTATCAGAGATGTTAGTGTTATATTCCAAATTGATTGGAGTGAGAACTCAGTAGTTTAGACAATGTGACACCTGAAATGTCCTAGGTTAGATCCTCGGTAAATGCACGCTACCGAAGAGTCCTACACACGACCTATAAACTCGTCTCAAGTTTCTCGACCTTCAACCATTGTTTGACTAAGGTCATTCCGAGATACAAAGTACACAATTTAAGGAGAAACAAGCAACATTAGTTTTTTATTTACTTTTGAGCAGCGCCAGAAATCTCCAACTACCTAGGAATCAGCTGCCAGATTAAATTCAAAATATTGGAAAATAGAAGTGTCCGATATAATTTCACGAAGCTGATATCGGTTCGAGACTCGTAATGTACACAAATCCCTACACTTAGTCGTATGCTCATATGTCATATGAATATATTTATATTCAAATAGATTAGTATATTTGTGTGTGCATATATTACTCTTACATTAAATATGAACACTAATATGTTTATGTTTTTAACTTACTTTATGCATGATCAAGGAATATTCTGCTTCATTTTAATCGGTTTTGGTGTACTAATTGCGACGACTATAATGTTAGTTTGGGCTGTTATCCGTATTTATAATAAATAAAATCAAAATTTATTATGCATCTGTTTTTCTATTGAAAAAGCGCTGGAATTTCATATATGAAGTGACATACTGATTCAAGAAAAGTCTGATACATAATGGAGCTCATTTCAGAATGAAAAACGAATTTGATTCGCTAATATATATAATCCAGTTAGTCAGTCATAAAGTAGAATTTGTAGGTACGTACATCGGTTCAAGTTGCCATACCCCATTAACACACCGAGATGTTGTCAGCCCAAATCTCAGAATAGTCGAGTAGTAACAACAATATCAATGATAATGAGCAGACTAGGCATCTAAGATACTACTAGAAAAGTATAAATTAGTAAGATAAAAACCGGCAAGGTGAGGAATTAAGGAGCTCAGGATTGGGGGAAGACAAAGATCGGATGTATCTGCGCAATCGCAAACGATTTTGCAACATGCCATTCGAAATCTTTGACTATTGGTCACGATAATCATGCAAACAATAACCAGGTGGTCTGTATCAATTAACATTATTAAATCTAGTTGTCAGTGTCTTGATGATGCCAAGTTTCAGATTGCCCGCCACTACCTTTCTTCGGGCTACTCCTACACTCACAAAATAGAACGAAGCAAACTGCTGCGCAATAAACTGACCCTACCGTTAGGAGACGAATATCTCGCCTACGCCATAAGTTATGCTTCAAACAAGATGCAATAGCATTTAGTTGAAAATACTTAGATAGGAAAATAGATGCATCAGTTTCATTAGATTGCTTAAAAGTACGTAACAAACAAAGAACGATTAGTCATACAGCATAACAGTGTTAAATATTAAGGTTAGATTTGCTTTGTTGTGTACATAATAATAATTAATATAATAAACTGTTGGAGAGATATTTAAAAACAAGTCAACTGTGGATACAATATATCCTTCGTATCGAAAAAGGGAATTAGTCCAGCAACAATCAAGTCAAAACTAGCACTTCCACAATGTGAATAAAGTAGTATAATTTTAATACAGTGAAAAGAAGTATTAAGTTATTATGTAGTGATATGATGGAAATAAAAGTCAATTTTCGATTGATTTACTAATTATGAGTTTTGTTCAAAAATTACTTCCTTTCTGATTCAATGTGATGATCATTCAGTGTAGAACTTTTCTTTTCTCGTATGATATTCTGTTTGATATACGATATTCTTGTATTCACTTGACATGAACTATGCTCAGTTTGTGATTTCATTCCAATTATTGATCAAAATATGTGTACAAACAATATATAAGTGAGATTACTTTCGACTGGGGTTGTCGTCCATATTGTCTGGATTAGCATTCCTTTGACTAGTCTTCTGTATTCTCATTGCGACTTGGATGGGGTTCTAACGTTCTAGTGCTTAAGTTATACACGGTATATCAAGAATATAAGCTCTAAATGTAACAATTGGCGACAGGGTTATCTTATCAAGATGTCATTTATCTTTGAACAATTTGAAGCCTCATTACCTTTGATTTTGCAGTGAGGCTCTTCTATTTAACCGGAAACTTTATTCATTAACTACCGTTAGTACTGAGTTCTTGTACACATACACACACACACACACACAATTATGCGACCATAACAACCATTTAAAAAAAACAGTCAATTTTAATGAAAATTTTACTATAACTAATGAAAGAATGTAGATAATTACTGACATTTCTAAATTAAGTTAATTTTTCTGATTCCAATTAGCAGATAAGTGTATTTTTCTCAATAATTAACATTTTATAAGTGTTCACAATAATTAATGATTGCCATACAAATAATTAAACATTATTAGGTCAATACTGAACAATCTGACATGATATAAAGATGATTAATGTGAAAGAGAATTAAAGAAGTAATTACAAAGAAAACTTGAATCTTCCCATTGATGTTTAGGACTGCAATTGATCAATCTCTTATTGGCATATGTGTATACTATGCATATTGCCTTAATTTACAAGTATTATAAGCAAAGATGGATAGTGGCTAGCATTGTAGACAGAATAAAATCAATCTATAATGTTCCAAGACTTTTCATCATCAGATAAGAACAGCTTTCATTCACACAATTAAAATCAGTTTGGAACATTTAACATACTATAATGAATGAATTTAAATTCGAAATCATAAAAAAAAACGAAATAACACAAATAAAGAAACAACGTAACATAATTAACACAATAGTTAGGACTGATTAATATTTGTATGTTGATGATGTATTCGCATAACAAAAAACAAAACGAAGTTGTGAAGGATGAAAAATAGATATAATGAATTAAAGAAACCGAGACTACAATTTATTGACGGACCAATCAGATATAAGATAGCGAGTCATGAATTCAGGCGCGAAATTCATCCATGCATTTGGCTAAATGGAGTTTTGACATTATAGCTGATGTCAATCCATGATGAAAACCCTAAATCTGATTTTTAACCCTAACCATTAAATGAGAATTCTAACTGCTTTATAACCCTCATTTAGTCCTAATTAGTAGTTGTTCACTCTAGAGGTCACTTCAGGATCGCTCAAAGGTCGTCCGTAAATTATAGTCCTACCGAAAGTTAACAAACCAATAGTGATCAAGATAACCAGTTGACAAAAAGATCAAGATAACATTGTAAATGAAATTTCGTGGAATTAGTGGTCAATGGTTTATATTCGATTGCAATTGGCTACAATATCAGATATTACGCTAATCTCTAAACGAACATGGAATTTAATTGGCTGTCCACAAGCACTGCCAACTGAGTACACAGCTCGGAATGCATCTGGAGACATATTAAAGCTTGTTGAAATAATAAAATCCTGTTGAATTCCGAGCTAACTAGTTCACAGGAAATTGTTATTTAACGAGCAGACATGATTTAGACCTTATTGGTATAGATTGAATAGACAAACTAAATCTATTGAACGTACCATTGAGCGAAATATATACGATGAATACAGCTATACCAAAGGAAATTCGAAGTCATTGGAAGACAGCAGCTTATAATGAACCAACTTCTTATTCCTTTTTTCATGTCAACTTACTAGATATAATTTTGAAATTTCATATTAAAATGAGATAAATATGTTCGTTTAAAGAATAACGTGATATCTGATATTGTAGCTAATTGTAATCGGATATGAACACCATTAACCATTAATTCCACAAAAGTTCTTTTATCTTCTATGCTTAGTGCTAGTGTAGCATACATACCGTTTATACACTTGTTTTGATACTGGTGAGTACGTCTCGTTGGCTTTGATGTCAAACTTTTTCTAGTTCGGGAAACTTTCTTTATAACCGACTTTTATATAATGATTTCTAAACCGGCAAACTACTAAGAATTGTCACGCACCACAAAACCAACATTTAGTATAGGGTTTGGAATTTTTCGAGTGATATTTATAACTTCTGGTACTATTTTGTCTCCGATCTGTCTTAACGATATGAACAGAATGGTAAGATTGCACCACACTTTTGGTTTCCAGAAGAGCTGTATCCAGTTGTAAGTTTATTAATCGTTAGCATTTAGCAGTGACAGTTTATAACGTCATGTTGCATACAGGATAACAACCTCAGCAACGATGGGAAAGTTCAAACCAGAAGTGAATAATAAGCATTTAAATTTATCACTGGTTAATACATTTAGTTTAAATCGTTCCGTTCATAAATTTTCTCTTCTGTGTACGTAATGTATTATTCATCAGCTTCCTTAGTCAGCTGTAGACAGTTATACTGGATACGAAATAACGACATCTGTTCACAGAAAACTTTACTTAGAATGTTAAGTTTCATCGAACTTAACTTCTCGCGGCTGTTTAGACAGGATATAGGTTTTATACTTTTGATGCTCGTTAGGACTGCTGAGGTGATCCAGAAAACTTCTCGCAAAAGACAAGGATCAGGAAGCATTAATAAGCATTTTATCTAATCACCGTTTACTTGAAGTTTAGCCAGAAACATCAAGAAAGTGAAAAGTCACATGTAGAGTTTCTAATTGGTTGATTACTATACTGCTACTATGTTTAAGTAGCATTCCAGAATTTTCGGGAAACCCAAGGACATCTAAAATACTATAAAACCTTATATTTTCTGTACTAGAACGAACATTTGGCGTAAAGTACTTCTCGCACATTTTGCGC